CAATCCGGGCATACACCTGGTGACTGTTACCAGGTTCAGGAATAAGCATGTGACCTGTATTAGACTAATCAGGTGTCAGAAGCAGGCTTATATTTCACTGTTGGGTAAAGGACTCCCCACCTCCTCCTCTGTGAGATGAGATCAAAGAGTTAGTGACACCAGTTGCCACTGGCATCCTGCTTGTGAACAGGGAGAGGAACCACCAGTATATCCTGCTGACACGGAGGAAAACAGAGAAGGAACTTGGAACCTTGATGATATAATTGAGCAAGCTGTACTCTGCCTGGAACCACCCTACCACTGGCCTTCAGTTATATCAGATAATAGAATATCCTTATGTGTAAGGTTGTTTCAGCCAGCATTTTTATATACCTGCAACCAAATACATCCTAACTGATGCTTACCTGTGGTAATGTGAGGATTAAGTGAGATAATACCTAGGAAGCATTATTGGCATGATACTGGACAGTCTCTAAGCATGGATTGTTATTCTAAAGTCTGGGATCCAAAGACTCTATAGTCTGGCTCTGGCTATGGGTCTGTCATTAGTAGGTTATAAAGAAAAATGGGGTCAGTAATGTGTTACAGGGCTCAGGGACAGGGGAAGGGAAGCTAGCACCTTCTCAGGCATGGGTGGGGTTGACAATCCAGGAAGGTAGTCACAGCAGTGTAGGCAAAGGGGAAGGAAAGGAAGAAGCAGCAATGAATGGAGAGATGAACATTACTAATGATAAGAAAAAAAAGCATATTGGTGACAAAGTAAATGCTGATTGTAAACTTGTCAACAAAATTATGATAGAAACTAGAGGCCTGATGTACAAAATTCATGCAAGAGTAGTTCTTCCTTCCACCGGCTGCTGACACCGGCTTCCCTCTGGCACCCAGAACCCAGGCTTCCTTCCAGCTGCCGGCAGGCGCTGAGGACCTGGCTTCCCTTGCAGCCCTAGCTTTGTCTGGAAAGATGGGAGGATGTCTGGAAGGACATCTGGTCTAATTAGCATATTCTGCTTTTATTATTATAGATGAAGTGCCTCATGTGAATGGGCAAAGAGGAGTATATCATTCCATGTGCCTTTGGATTTTCCTTTTATTTATTTACTAGACGCCCGGTGCACAAAATTCGTGCATGTGTGTGTGTGTGTGTGTGTGTGTGTGTGTGTCCCTCAGCCCAGCCAGCACCCTCTCCAACCTGAGATCTCTCTCACAATCCAGGACTGCTGGCTCCCAACTTCCCGCTTGTCTGACTGCCTGATTACCCCTAACCGCTTCTGCCTGCCAGCATGATCACCCCCTAACCACTCCCCTGCCAGCCTGATCTATACCTAACTGCTCCCCTGCCGGCCTGATTGCCCCTAACGGCCCTCCCCTGCAAGCTTGGTCACCCACAACTGCCCTCCCCTGCTGGCCCGGTCACCCCTCACTGCCCTCCCTTGCCAGCCTGGTCGCCCCTAACTGCCCTCCCTCCCTGCAGGCCTGGTCCCCCCAGTTGCCCTCCCCTGCAGGGCTGGTCCCCCACACCTGCCCTCCCCTGCCGGCCATCTTGTGGCAGCCATCTTTGACCACATGGGGGTGGCCATCTTGTGTGTTGGAGTGATGGTCAGTTTGCATCTTACTGCTTTATTATATAGGATTTAGAAAAAAAAAATCCATTCATCAGTTCTGTGGTGCTGTGATATCCAGGGCAGTGCATAAAACCTATGGTTTAAACAATGTGTCTGATGAATTTCTGCTTTGAAATGTAGTAAAAACTTCAATAATTTGGAATTAGGTAGGCATTAGGGTGAATTACTTATTGTAATTAGTGAAAATTTAAAAATTTTTAAAGAAACAATTTTTACTGTACTAGATTCTGGAGGCAGTTAAAACCAGGCTAATAAAACTGTTCACTTGAAGGCCTGGGAGCCAGTATTTATCAATGGTTAGGGCGGAATAATTGTCCTGGCAATATTTTGCTTTTAAATGGTGGGGGTGAGAAGTACTGCTAAAGTAGTTCAAAGGCGTTTGGAAGGGTTTACACTTTTACGCTGGTTAGGCGGCATGTCCCATGCAGTTTTATTTTCACTGGTTTCTCCAGGAGGTGGTAGAACAGGCACATACTTTTTCTGACCTCTTTTAGAGCCACGATGGGAAGGCCCCTCATGTATCCTCATTCTTCTTCCTACTAACACACCTCTGTTAGGGCTTTGTTGCTGTGTATCACAGGGTTCTAACTTTCTGAGCCTCCGCTAAGATCATTCCCTTGGAATTAACCATGGACACATAGTGCAAAATCGCTAGTGGAACAGAAAGAATGGGGATTTTTTTAGGGAAGAAGGAAGAGATTCCTTTTGGAGCAGAAGCCCTCCCCTGGTAAGGCAGAGCGGGGTGGGTGCTAAGAATGGTAATTGTGAGTAGCCAGGGCTGGGGCATTTGCGCACTGCCTGGTCACCACTTCCTAGCACTTGCTGAACAAGCCCTTTTATCATAGTTAACGTGAAGCCCACATGCACTAGTATCTGAGTTTTGATATATGAAACAAAAAGATCAATGGCAAATTATTTTTTTAATAAAACCCTCAAAAATATTTTCAAGCCTCTCTCCCTCCCAAATTACCAATGATGTCTTCAGCCACCCTGCGGAAATTTTTTTTTTAAATATATTTTATTGATTTTTTACAGAGAGGAAGGGAGAGGGATAGAGAGTTAGAAACATCGATGAGAGAGAAACATCGATCAGCTGCCTCCTGCACATCTCCTCCTGGGGATGTGCCCGCAACCCAGGTACATGCCCTTGACTGGAATCGAACCTGGGTCCTTTCAGTCCGCAGGCCGATGCTCTATCCACTGAGCCAAACTGGTTTCGGCCACCCTGCGGAAATTTACTTTTTGTATGTTAGCCCCAAATTTGTATACGGCCAGTTTGGTTGACTGGGACCAGTCAGGTCGGAACCCACCAATTAGTTCCAGAGAAAGACAGTCACATTAGTTGTTTATTGACATCTTTTTAATGTTTTACTTTAAAACAAATAATCCCAGTAAAAGAGAGCAAAGGAAATGACATTTTCATGGTAGCTTGAAATGGATATGGTATTCCTGACTTACTTGTTTTCAGGAAACAGACAATTGCATTGTCGTACATGACTTTTAGAACTGCTCACGTAAATGCACATACTTATATTAAATTAAGTTTCTTTTACAAAAACACAACCAAGTCATTTTAAGGCAAAAAAGAAAAAAAATCAGCTTTTGGGGAGATAAGGTAATATTGTGGTATTTTCAGAGGTGATCCATTAATTTAGTTGCTCTTGTGTCCATATTCCTTACAGTTTTGCTTTGCAAATGGGCTAGAGAATTAGTCGCTTTGTGCCTGGTGTCCTCCTCTCTCTCAGACTTGTTTTACCTGTGGATTAAGAACTTTCAGAATTGCTGAGTCGATGGGAGGTGAGAAAGGCACCCTTGAGCAGGGGATAATGACTAAAAAACTCAATAAAGTATCTCCCTTTAAACAAAACTTGCAATCTACATATATTAACTTAGTTAAACACAATGCAAACATTTAGATCAGACACAGAACATCTTTTAGTTGACCTTATATAAGGGATGTTTGCAATGAAGTGTTAGCTTGATCAGCCCTGCATGTTGAAGAAGGCAGACAGACTGGAGCTGAGAAAGCATGTGGTTACTCAGTGCTCAGCGAAACTGTGCTTCTAGACACCATTTGGGATTGTCCAATGGGACTCTGCTAGGTATAAACAGGAGACCCCTCCGAACTCCCCAGAGAGACACACACCAGACAGACCCTACATTTTCCACACCACACAACTATCTTTGAATATCCAGTAAATTTTTTTGTGTGTGTGCTAGAGTTAAGATAGACACAATATGGTCATGGCTTCAATGTACAATAGTTTCTCACAACATGGTCCATTGCATTTTGCTATGATTAAGACCTCAGTGATATTTGTAGGTTTTGTTTCTGAATCTTCCATCTTCAGCAATGCTGGATGAACTGTGCTGGGTT